CAAGACGTCACGCTATAAGTCGGTACGAAAGGGCAAGAAGCAAAAGAAGAAACCGGCCAAAATTCTCAGGTACAAATTATTACAGCGTGTTACTTGTTCCGTCTCTAAAAATATTCGGTATTTTAAATTTTTAATATATTATTTTCTTAGATACTTTCCTTTGAAACCACGGTTGCAAAGAATGTATATGTCATCAAAAATGGCTCAGCACATGAGGTGGCACGCGACTGAGGAAAACCTAGATGGTAGGTTAAGGCACCCACGAGACTCGGAGGCGTGGAAAGCGTTTGATGCGAAATTTCCAGACTTTGCCAATGATCCTAGAAATGTACGTCTTGCATTGGCAACCGATGGTTTTAATCCCTTCGGAAACATGAGCACAAGTTACAGTATCTGGCCGGTGGTGTTAATTCCATACAATCTACCACCTTGGATGTGCATGAAGCAGAGCTCCTTTTTGCTTTCCATGATCATTCCTGGCAAGAAAGCACCAGGAAATGATATTGACGTATACCTGCAACCGTTGATACACGAATTGCTCGACCTATGGACGAATGGTGTTGAGGCATATGACTCACATGACAAGCAACTATTCAATCTCCGTGCAGCCTTGATGTGGACAATAAGTGATTTTCCCGGTTTGGGAACTTTGTCTGGCTGGAATGTGCATACTGGGTTGGCCTGTCCTGAGTGCAATTTTGATTCTGTGCCATGTCGCCTTCCACACAGTCGCAAGTGGTGCTTCATAGGACATCGACGGTTCCTTGATTCCAAGCACAGACTTAGATTGCAACGGATTCGCTTCGATGGGAAACAGGAGAAGAGAGATCCTCCTGTTACTTTGTCTGGTATGGATATTTTGCGGCAGTTAGAAGATGTTCATATCGAGTTTGGTAAGAGTGTGGATCCCGAACGATTGGGACGACGATCTCGTGGGACATCTGATACGCAACCTATGCAATGGCGGAAGAGAAGCATATTTTTCACTCTTCCTTATTGGGAATCTAATTTGCTACGACACAGTTTGGATGTTATGCACATTGAAAAAAATGTGTGCGATAATGTGCTATATACGTTGCTCAATGAAGCTGGAAAGTCCAAAGACCATCTCGCAGCTAGAAAAGATTTACGGGCCTGGGGAATTCGTGAAGAGGCTTGGCCTGATGAAAACGACAAGTTTCAGCCAGCTAAATTCACCTTGACAAAGCAGAACAAGGATATCTTCCTCTCGACGTTGAAGAACATAAAAGTACCAGATGGATATTCTAGCAACATCTCAAGGTGTATCGATCTGCAGGCTCGAAAGGTTACTGGGTTGAAAAGTCATGACTCTCATGTTCTTATGCAACAGTTACTTCCATTGGCCTTGAAAAACACACTTCCTTCTGATGTATCGGTGGTTTTGGTAGAATTATGTTCATTTTTCAAGAAGTTGTGTGCGAAGGTCTTGGTAGCGGAAGAGCTTGATCAGCTGCAAAATAAAATTATTCTTACACTTTGTCACTTGGAGATGATATTTCCTCCATCATTCTTTACTGTTATGGTTCACTTGACTGTCCACCTTGTTCGAGAAGCAAAGGTTGCTGGCCCAGTTCACTATCGATGGATGTACCCTATAGAGAGGTACTAGATTATCTTTTATTCCCGCCTCTTTAAATTTCACATTGTTCTTTCATTTACTCGTAATTATTAATGCAATTTTAACTTACAGGTACTTGGGAAAATTAAAATCATATGTTAGGAATAAGGCATGGCCTGAGGGGTCAATAGCAGAAGGTTATTCCGGAGATGAGGTCCTAACTTTCTGTTCGAGGTACTTTGATGACATGGAGACATCTTTTAACCGCCCGCGTCGCGTAGATGATTCTCCTCCCGGTCCTTCCACGTCAACTTTATTTCCTCCTGTTGGGAAACCAGTTGGAGGATATGAATTCTTCAGACTCACTCCTACAGAGAAACTCCAGGCACACAGACACGTTTTGATAAATTGCAGCCAAGTTGAACCCTTCATGCAGTAAGTATATATATCATATAAGCTCACTAGCTTTTACACTTTATATTTGTTTCTTATTGACTCTTCTAACAAATTACACTTTACTATAGTGAGTTTAGGAGTTATCTCAGGCGTCAGCTACGGGGCCGTGCGCGTTCTGCTGACATTGATAAAAGAGTCCACAAAGAGTTTCCCAGTTGGTTTACACGTCGAATACGTAATGACAACAGCCCATACACAGATGAATTCAAGCTCTTTCTCTCGGTCCGTTAGACCATGCACGGAGGTTTACCGCGTACAATGTCAACGGCTTCAAGTTCTGTACGGTTGCACGTGATCAGGGATTGCTCACACAAAACTCTGGAGTTTGCGGGACATTCGGAACGAGATGTTATGCTAGCAGTAGTGATGGCGATATGCGCTTTGGAGGCGTCACTTACTATGGAAAGCTAATTGACATTATTGAGTTGACTTACCAGCTTTTCACCGTGACACTGTTCAAATGCTCCTGGGCAAATACGACAACTTCACGGGGACTCGCTACTGACCATTTGGGCATCACCTCAGTCAATTTCTCAAGACTTATTCATACGGGGGCATCTGAAGATGATGAGCCATATATCCTTGCTTCTGAGGCACACCAAATTTACTATGTCGAGGACGAGAAACATAAAGACTGGAATATGGTCGTTCACCTCAAGCCACGGGATCTTTACGATATGGGTGATGGTGACATTATTTACGACAGTGAACCCTTCCAACCCTCGAATTTTGAAGACTTCTTTCCTCAAGGAGATGATAATTTGCCACTTATCAGGTACACGTCTTTTCTTAAATTATTTAAATAATTAACTACTAATTACTAATTTTTTCCAAATACAACATAAATTTAACAAATTTTTTTAAAATATGTCCTTTCAGGCCGGATGATGATGGAGAGTAGCAGCATCCAAAATAAATTATTTAACAAATTTTTCGTCCATAAATACATATGTATAAATTAAAATTCGTAAAATTTTTTTAAAAATAAAAAAATTTTCATTTGTAGCGGTTCATAACCGCTACAAATTTTTTCACGAAATTGTAATTTGTAGCGGTTATTAACCGCTACAAATTACAATTTCGTGAAAATTGTAATTTGTAGCGGTTAATAACCGCTACAAATTACAATATCGTGAAAAAATTTGTAGCGGTTATGAACCGCTACAAAATACATACCTGTAAATTAAAATTCGTTCAGATTTTAAAAATAAAAAATACTAAATTTCTAGCGGTTAATAACCGCTACATATGTAACCGCTACTAATTACTAGCGCTTTTATTTACGCTAGAAAATGAATAACAGCTACAAAATGTTATAAAACGCTACAAAAACACCGCTACAAATGTGTCGCTGATCTCTATAAATACCATATCTTCTCTACATTCATTTACTCCATCTCTTTTCCTTCCTCTCCTATTCTTCTTCATAATTCTCTCTTTTTTCTTACTATCTCATATTGTGATTTTTTTCTCTTTACTCTATGGTAAGTGAATTTTATTTTATAATTCATTGTATCTTTTATTTGTTTTTATTTAAAATTTACTAACATATTTATTTCTCCTTTCCTTTCAGATTTTTCTTCTCCACATTTGTCATGCCCTCCTCAACTGATTCAAATACTCATCAACTTAATACTATAGGTTCAATATTCCAAAATATATCATCTTCAATTCAACTATCTTATTAAATATTCAATTTAATTATCTTGTTAGATTAAATTCACTTCTTTTAACACATTCATAATTTAATTACATATTTTTTATTACAAAATTTGAATATATAAAATGTAACATATAACTAATTATACAAATTAACAAAAATTCTTCAAAATAATTTATTTAATGGTTTTTAAAATTATAATATGAAAAACCATAATTTTTTTTTTCTGGCACGGTAAACATTTCTAGCGGTTCAGAACCGCTAGAAATATTTCGTGAAATTTAAATTTCGCGCCAAACTTTCTAGCGGTTAAGAACCGCTAGAAAAGTTTCCCGCCATTCTAAAAATTCAATTGGTGTGAAAATTTAATTTCCAAAACATTTCTAGCGGTTCTATAACCGCTAGTAATTTTCGCGCGCTACCGAAATTATTTAATTCCCGTTTAGCAGGTTTCTAGCGGTTTTGTAACCGCTAGGAATGTGTCTCCTTCAGATAATTTCTAGCGGTTACTAACCGCTAGAAATGTTCTATCGTTTTGACCATGATGTGTAGCGGTTGAGATAACCGCTAGAAATTTTTTCTAACACCTGTTTTTCTAGCGGTTTCGTTAACCGCTACAAATGTTATTTGTTGCGGTTAAAACCGCTAGAAATGTAACACCATAACCGCTAGAATTAACATATTTTTTTGTAGTGATACTACCTCCGATCATAATTATAAGATCCGGTTGACTAATTTGAGAAGATTAAAAAAGTAAGTTGAGTTAGTTATTTGTCCTGAATAGGTGTTGTTTTTCCTAAAATATCCTTGTTAATCAAGTGTATTGACTAGAACTATCATTGTTAGAAGGACTACTTTGGAAAAAAATGTATAAATATGAGAGACAAAATGGATTGGAATCTTATATTTAGGACCAAAATAAAAGTCAAACAGGATCTTATATTAAGGACAGGAGGCAGTGTGTGTATATATAAATCAATCCTCCATCCCAACAAAGTCTATATAGTGGAGACTTGCACCGAAGCTCTCTTTTAATTATGATATATAGGCTTCATTTTATATTCATGATTATGGCATTAAAAAATTTCATTTATGCTGTATTTTTTTAGTGCGTAACAATGATAAGAGCAGCATCAGGCATGTCTGTACACTTAAAAGCTCCAGCATGCGAGCAAAATCATGTAAATAGCTAGAATGTCCTGTTGAAGGGTACTTCAAAGTAACGATCAAATGTGGCACACGATCTGCTAATTTTTAACACGTTGTCAGTTATCACTTCGTCTCTGTGGTTTTAATTTACATTCCAAAAGACACGTAACTAAACCAAATCCACCAAGCTGTAACACAAGAAACAATCCAAACAAGCCCTTTTGGGAAGACTTGGACTTGTAGCAGCAAAAACATGTTCCGTTGCCCCCATCTGACAAACAACACACACTACACAATGAGGGAAGCTTGTATAATCAAACTTGATGTTGTGGGTTGGGGTCGTCGTCCCGGAGCTTGATCATAGTATAAGCACCGGCGCCGGCCAGAGCTCCGATGGTGGGCGCAATGAAGTATAGCCATAAGTCCTTGTAATTTCCCACCGCCACCGCTGCCCCCAACGTCCTCACCGGGTTCATTGATCCCCCACTTGCCGGCCTGCCCAATACACACGCAAACACCAACTACATTGTCACTTCCTTGTTTTGATCTCCATTATTCTAAATTCGCTGTCTTCGTCCTATACTTAGACTACTATAGTACTATGACATAAGCTAGAGTAGCCACTTTGCAGCTTAACTAACTCACACATTATAACTATATAAAGATTACAGGATAATAGAACTGCTTACCCAGAAATGAGAATGTTGAGCAAAACTGTGGTTCCAATAGCAATCCCAGCCATTTCTCCAACCTGTCACCGTCATCATCAATACCAATATATCAATATCTATATAATCAAATTGACGCTGAACTTACGGATAATGTTTCAGACAAAGTCGGCAGATAATTTAAAAAAACAAAGAAAGAAATGAACTTACAGCGCGAGTATCAGTAGCGACGGCAGTGATAACGAACATAAGATTGAAAGTGATGATGGACTCCAGCACAAAAGCCTGTCCAAGACTCGTACTCACGGAAGGGACGGTCACTTCTCCGTTCACCAGCGGATGGAAGATGCCCTTGACGGTGAATGAGGCGCAGATGGAGGCGGCGACCTGAGCGAGGATGTAGGCGGGGACGTGGACCCAGGGGAAGTGGCGGAAGGCGGCGAAGGCGATGGTGACGGAGGGGTTGAGGTGAGCGCCGGAGATGTGGCCAATGGACAAGACCACGATTGTGACGGCTAAGCCGGAGCAAGCAGCGTTTCCGATGAGGCCCTCAACGCCGTTGTATTTCTGGTTCAATATGGGTCCTGCCGATGCTGCAAACATCAATATGAAGGTGCCCAAAAACTCTGCTCCTGTCTGCCAATTATTAACACGTTGGATTCTTCTTTGTACATGCATATATAAGTTTGCTTGAGAAATTATTAGCTGATGCTAAATATAAGAGCTAATAATTGAGACGTTGGATTTGATATATAATGTTGTAGTTAAAATATCTCGTGGTAAATATATTGCCATAATTATTGACTTTATCCGAAAGTCAGAAATTCATGGGAAGAAAAATAATGAGGTCAATAAATTGTGAGGTCACAGCGGGCTTTCAACAAGAAGATGCGATGGATGATTAGCATATTCTAAACTCTAAAGTCTCATTTAGTACGAAATATTAAAAATAAGAAACATGGATTAGAATTGTAATTGAAAAAATAATTAAAAAAGTATTTAACATAAGTAATTACTTGTTACATGGCATTAGACAAACTCATTGAAGTGGGATTAAAGAATACCACATCTTATCATGGTACTCTCTAATCACATATACATGGGTTTGTCTAATCTCACGTAATAAGAAATTTCTCATGCTAAATATTTTTTTTAACAAGTTTTTTCAATCATAATTCCTACCTCTTATTTTCAATGTTTTGTACTAAACGGGATCTAAAGGCATGAATAATGTTTCACCTAAATTAATTTTATTAATATGCATTGCTCCGCGGAAATTGGCCATGATAGTACAGTTTAGTTGGTGAGACTGAGAAGAACAATATAGGGCCCATCTGGAACAGTTTATAAGTAGTTTATAAGCTGCTTTTCAATAGTGATTTATGTAATACGAGATAAGTATGTGAGAAGAATTTTGTCTCGACTTACGTAAAACGTGTTTATAGGGGATTTCCATCACTCCGCCAAACGGGGCCATAGTAATATAACTTACTGAAGTTCGACGTACATGATCCATAAAATTAAAAGGGGAAATTCACGCATTGAATTTTTTGCATTGAGTAGGCAGTGTAAAAGAAAACAACTAGTTGATCGATTCATGTTAAGTGAAAATAAAAGAAAATTAACGTATACCTTGCGTGAGAGAGAGGCGTTGCGAATGGAGAAGCTGGAATGAGTCCTGATTGTTGGTATACACTCACACTTTAAGGGCATCGAATTCTGAGTGGATGACAGTGAATCCACCCTTCCCGACGAGAACAGTGGCGCCGGTGTCGCCGTTGTCGATGGCGGGTCCACCTCTGAGTCTATCATTTCCCCCTCTTTTATAGTATGAGAAAAGAAAAGCTCGTTGACAGATTTATAACAAGATGAACAATAAAATTTTGGCGAAAAATGTCTGTTTGTAAGACTTAAATGCGCCAAAAAAGACATGGATTTGAGCATTCTTTTTCAGTTCTGTACAACATTTCTTCAATTATATCTAAACAGCTTTTATTTTTTAAGACTTTAATTTTACATATAGTTAAAAATATGTTATATGCAAATGAAGAAAAGTTGCATAGGTCTTTTGGACCAATAAATTTCTTAAATAAGGACTTTTCACTAAATTTCCCATACAAAATGATATGCTTTAACAACTTATTTCTATTTTTTTTTCTTTTCTTGCAAATTTGAAGCATTAAAAGAAAACATTTTCGGGGTTTTCTAAGGGAGTGTATGTGAGGAGCAACTAGAGTGACATGATTGAAAGCTTTTACATATCATAACCCGTGAACGGCAAATAAAAGGGTTTTACACGCAATATTCTCGATCTGTTATTTCACCAAAAAGAAAAATATTCTCAATCTGTTTGAGAAAAATGAAAATCTCTCTATCTATTTCTGAGATGTTTGGATTTTCCAAAGTTCCATGGATATGCAGAAGAGAAATACTATTCCCACAAATATGGAAAAATATATTCCATCATTATAAATGTAAATCAAGATTGGATTCATATATGTACACTTCCAACCTCACCTCGATCTGATTAATAAATAGTTATGAAGTAATTAATACCTCCTGTGATTTAAAAACATGTTGGTTTCGTAGGTGCAGCAGTGAGATATATATGGAAGTAATAATGAACTGTGGGTGAAGAAGTCAATGATGAAATTATGATCCTTTAATTTGGAGCATAAACAAAGATGGGAGATACGTGTTTCTTGTTTTGCTTTTGAAATTAGGAAAAAGAGGACAGAGCTAGAGTTCTGCATAATTGATGCGAGGTTTAATATATCATCGTTTTCTATGGAAAAGAGGAAGGAGCTGCAGATTAGAAAGCATTGATGGAGAACAATTTGAACAATCAAATTAATACTTAAATCGTTAGCAAAAGATTATTAGGAAACTTACCTATGGCTTCGCAGTTGGAAAAAAAAAAAAAAGACTTGGCGTGGTATTTTCAAGGCAGCAAGTCAGCCCTTACACTTTCATTTTCGTCCATCCATGCTCTTCAATTAGGAGAAATAAATTTGAATGGAGGATGTGTTAATTTCTGCAGAAATGAATGCAACAAATGAAGAAAATTAAAGGAAATAAAAGTAGCTAGTGAATATATGGTGATTTGGAGATGAGAGGAAAATCAAAAGCATTATGAAAGGAAGAAGAAGAAGAAGGAATGGAGGACGAAGGATGACGAAAAGCAAACTTAAGAAGAAAAGAGATCAAGGAACAGTCATGATCGATTACAAGAGTTACTTCAGCCTTCCCTTTCTTCTTCTTCTTGTTGGTTTTTTCGCCGAAAGAAAAGGAGGTCAAAGGCCTCCAGGGGAAGAACATGTGATTATTATTATTATTATTATCATCATCATTATTATTATTTGGTATTTGATTTATTCGTTGGCGTGAAGTGGTGTGACATACTATACAAGTAGTTGACTTTCTATAGAACAATCCGGACACTAGCTACTTTGCTACGTTAATAATGTTTTCTTTTGTTTCTTAAATGCCAACTTATACATATAACAATATATATAACCACAAGACTTTAGAGCATCTGAAACTTAAAAAAAGATTATATATTTATATACATATAAAGGCATGTATGAATACCGTACTTTGCATATTGAGCTACATATGTGCTAATCAAGGATACAAGTCAATTTGATTAATCATGGATTGTTCAAATTCTTAATTTCCTAGTCACGTTCATGTGTTACTTTTCTTTCCCAGGGCGCTCATTTCTTTATTATTCTCTCCACACCCATTAATTCTTTTCTTTTCTTTTCTTTTTGCCTGAATTATTAGGGATGTCTTGGTAGAGGAGAGATCTATATATTATTCCTTGTCTTAAAGAGAACTACTCCTCTGGTCCTTAATATAGGACCCAATTCTTGAATTGGTTTTGATCCTAAATATAAGATCCATTTCTCATATTTATCGATTTTCTCTAAATTACCCCTATAGATACTCCATCAACCATAATTAAGTAGAAGAAGGAGAGGAGGTATTAAGTAAGATGATTATGGTGTTTTAGGAAAAATGTGTCACTTTTCCTATAATTAACTAACTTACCTAACTTCCTTAATATAATCAAATTAGTTAAATGGGTCTTATATTAAAGACCGGAGGAGTATTTCCATTAATAGAACTAATAATTTACATACATATAAAAAGATAAAATACACACAAACATATTGAAAAGAACATTGAATAAATTAAGGTTTATTGATCGGCTTCATTGGAAATAAAGCAACCTGGGTGTTTATTTAATTAATTATTCAAGTCAATTGAAGGTGGTGATGATGATGACAAACTAAAAGCGTGTTGTTAGTTGTCATCTCATGTTGATGTGCGGTTGAATATTCAAAATACTACCCAACTTGATGGAAACAAGATAGCATAATCTACATGTGATCATAAATATAAGACCCATTTCATAATATTATTTTTATTATAAAATGAGTATTATATTTAAGACCGGAGGAATACAAAATATTTGACTTAGTGTAATGTATATACTATCTCAAATTCTTAATATAAGAGTTAGTTTGACTTTTAATTTGGTCATAAATATAAGATTTTAATTTTCTTTATCTCTTATATTTATCTATTTTTTTAAAAAATAATTTTTGTAATAATTGCACATGTTAAAAATTTTATCAAATAGTAGTTCTAGTTAATACACATGATTATCAATAATATTCTAAGGAAGGCAACACCTATTTATTATTAATAGCTAACTTAACAAACTTATTTAATATATTTAAATTAACTTAGTTAATTAGCTGTTATATTAATGATGTGAGGTAATATATTACTATTTATTTATTCTATTTGAAAGTATCGTCAGTCATGGAATAACAAAACTACAAGCAGCTAAAGCCCGTATGTTCGAATATCAATGGTACAAAATGGGGTTGAAAAGATCAAGCTTAGATAATTCAGTCTAGCAGAAGTCCTGAAACAACCACGCCTAAAAACTAGGTTATATGTTTCGATAACTAAACACACCCTGACTTTAGATTTTGTATAACTTGATCCAAAACCCCCCCTCCCAAAAAGAAATGTCCAATTATCCCGCAAATCACATTATTTTTTTAAAATTTTTCATAGAAAGAGTATATATAGATATCTTTGTATGAAAGTAAAAAAATTGACATGTTGATTAAGATATGACAAGCATCTAACAAGAATGACCTCTTGTGCATCACATTGAGAGTCTCTATTTTTAAGGGTTATAGACCCGTTTGGATTAAGAATGGAAAAAATAGTGCATTTTTAATTTTATTTTTAAAAAAATTAGATTAATTAATGTGACTTATGTTTGAATTGATTTTTATAAATAAGTTAGTTTATAAAAGTAGAGGTTTTTTGGATTATAATTAAATAAGCAAGTTTACTTTATAAAATTACTTTATTAAATAATAAAAAATGAAAAAAAATATCAGCTTACATAATATAATAATTTTAAATTATTTTAATAGTAAGAAGTTAAATGTAATGAATAAAATATATTTATATTAGAAATCTGTGAAAATTTTTAAACCAAATAATATCACATAATTAATAAAATGATGTATTTGTATACAATTTATGTAAATATAAAATAAAAAAATAATTTTAAAAATTAGAAATATTATTAAAAAAAACTATGTTAAAAGAACATATATATATATATGTATATATAGGAGGAGACGGCCTGTTAAGATAAGGGAGAAGAGGGAGAACTTGACCAGAAGCATGATGAGAAAAGCAAAAAAAAAAAAAAGAAAAGGAATAAATTTACAAAATCGCACTATTAAAAGTAATTTTTAGCCCATAAATTAAATAGGTCAGAAGCTAATCCAAACAATCCCCATCTCCTCCAAACATGCTTAGCCCAAAAACTATTTTTTCGTAGTCAGATTACCGTACCAAACAGACACACAGTAAATTTCACAGTATTTTTATTCAATTCTGATACGCATGATTATTTTTTCGGGTGAGATGATTATTTAATGTAATATAATCATGTTGATACCTGCATAAATTTTGTTTCGAGAAAAGATACATATATAAATTATGTTGATATGAAAATGAACAACACATAAAAAAAAATCAAATAGCATAATAATTAGCAAATTTATAGACTACTAATAGACAAGGAGCCTCTCCTCATCCCTCATCTTCCTTTTTAATCTTTAAATTAATATTTTAACACTCGAGGCTGTGATCTTTTAAAAATTATTATTAAAATATTAAATTTAATAAATAATAAAACATAACTGTTAAAATTTAATTTTAAAAGTTTACTAATACACAACTTTAAAAAAAATATTTTATACATAAGTTTTAAAAATATTAATAAAATCTTAATCATTAAAATACGTCGGTTAACTGTTTAAAAAAAAAGGAAAAGAAAAGGATGTGAAGTAAGTAAGAGTAGGGAATGCGGGACATCAAATTTCAAAAAAAATTTCTAGGCCCGCGGAAACAGCGTCTCTTCCTCTTCCGCAACAATGGCGCCCACCATCTTCATCGCGGTTCAGTGCTTCCAATGCTCCACTATGCAGGTACTCTCTTCTCGCTTTCTCGGTCTCTCTCTGCTTTCTGTGACTGGATGACACACGGTCGATGACTCGATGGAGTTCAGGTGAAGCAGAAGAAGAAGAGCAGCAATAAATGGAGCTGCGCTGTGTGCAATCAGAAACAGTCCGTGACCAAAGTCTTCGCTCAGGGATTCATGGCCAAAGACATCCGTGCCTTCGTCCAGTCCTTCAATATGTCTCGTAAATCCCTCGATGAACAGTCTCTCTTTTCCGGAGCTCTATCTCCCGCTCTGGATGAGCAGATCATAAACCGTGACGACGATAAGTTCAACCTCTCCATGAATCAGAGGAACAAGCGAAGCGATTGGACCGAGTACCTAGATCCAGAGGATAATCACATCCAAGGGCGACAAGAAACGGAACAGGATGGTCATTATTGATTTTCGGATTAAATCGGGTTTATATTCGTTTAGGTGAATTCAATCTGTTGTGATTATATGATTTGACTTTGATTCAACATAGGTGATGGTTTTGAGGTGAAGGTTGTGACGGAATTGGAGAGGAGCATGTTCAAGAAGCCTAGATTGCAAAATTACTCCCCTGGGTTGGCTGGTGAAGATAGTGACAAGCTTTGCAAGCCTCGTTTCCCAAGGAGGAATGCCAACAAAAAGATCGTTTCGCAAGGTACCAGGACAATTGTTTGGCTTTGAACAAAAAAAGAATAATTGTTTGAAAACCATTGCTTCTCTGTTTGCTTTACGAGCTTTAGCTTATCTCACTCACTAGTGGGTTATGATTAATAAATGATCATAATAAATATGTACTTGACATTATACATTCATTTTTTATGTGATTTCAAAATTCACTTTCCATATTCATCCTGATGCAGAGGAGAGAGTGAAGGGTGAGAACAATTACAAGGAACCAGATGATCAGAGATCTCAGAAATGTCAACCAACAATCAGCAAAGCAACCTCCAAATGGAAGGATTACATGACTGAGGAAGATGACAGCCTCCAACTTGGATGGAAGAGAGCTTCCAGAGACCATGCAGATCAAGGGAACAACAGTGTGTTAGAGGCCATGACTAATGAGGAAACGGTAGACGAAGATATCCACCCAGACTTCATGTGAATTATATTCCTATCTTAACCTGAATGGCATTTTTATGGAAGGAGGATGACAGGGAGTTTCAGTTTTGCTTTTGATACTTGGAGGACTCCCAGCTACAGAAACTGTTTGAATGCTTCTCCTTCTCTTTGGAAGACCCAAGACACTTCTCTCTTTCGGTGTATTTGTCATGTTAAGTGATCAGAACTCAAATTGGTGCTTCGGTTTCGCGTGAACAACTCAATCTGACAACCGGATTTGAGGTATGCTTCGAAAACTTTTATCCAAATAAACCAAGGAAAAATCACTGGACTAGAGCCTAGCCCTGCAATTTTTTTCGCAGGCACAAACTTATTGAGATAATTAGTATATTCGGGAACTTTGAAAAATTAATTTGAACGCACTCGCTTATAAAAAATAAAAATAAAATTTTAATTGTAACGACATTCAAATTTTGGAGAAAAAAGAACAATATTTGTAATTAAAATGTTTTTAAAATTAAAACCGTTAAATGCTCAAATAAAAAACATTAGACTCGTTAGATATAATTCATATGAAATGGGGCACATCTTACTCCCCATCTGAGCTTTCTAGTTCGATTTAGAGCCGTTTGTTTGATATGAAAAATATTTTTTCAATAAATTATTCTAAGAAATTCTAATATGTTTGTTTAAACTTATAAAAACAAATAGATGATTTTTTTTAAAAAAGAAATTCAAGAGGTATTTTTTTGAATTCCTTTTGATTAAGAGAAAGTGGTTTTATAATTATAACGAACTTTTGCTGTTTATAAAATCTTTAGTCCGCAAATAGTGTTTTAAATAATATAAAAATCACAATAAAAAAACAAATGGCTGATGGATTTGGATTTGGATTATGCAGATTTCGCCCCGCTCTTCAAATTCTATAATTTTTCGGTTTGACTCTAATTTTAAAAGAAAAAAATTAACCTTTTTAATCATACAACTTTTAATTTACTTGTAACTTAGTTTCATTCAGTTCTTCAACTATTAAAAGAAAAAAAAATATTTAACTCACTTATAATTTGATTTTTTAGTTATGACTTGTTATGACTTAATTATGACCTACTGTGATTCAGTTTGATTTTTTAATTTTAAAAGAAAATATTAATCTTTAATTTTTCAGTTTTTATCTCACTTATAACTTAATTCTTCAATTATGACTTGTTATGATTTAATCTCTAAATTTTTAACACAGTTACTTAGAAGCAAGTCAAAAGTTTAGAAACTGAGTAACAACAAGTCGTGCTTACGGGATTAAATTATAAGTAAAAAATTGAGTGATTAAAAGATAAATTTTTTTGTATATTTTTAGTCATTTAACCCTAGAATCATTAAATGATATATTTTGTAATAACGATAGTATTTTCAAAAATTAAATTTAATATATTATTATCTAAGAATATTTTATAAACATTTTAAAATATGAATATCATTATTTTGACTAAAATATATATTTATTTCTTTAATTTTATATAAAATTTCAATTTAATCCTTTAATTTTGGAAAACATACTTTTAATCATTTGACTTTGAAATTACTAAAAAAAATGATGACAATAAAATCTTAAATGTTAATAAAATACTTAGTGTGATTTTTAAAACAACTATGACTCTTACACAAAGTAATCATTTGAGCAAGAATAAAAAATATATTATTTAAAAGATCAAATTAAAATCTTATATAAAGTTAAATGAACAAATATACACCTCAACCCATTATTTCTTGCTAATAATTTTAAAATTTAAAAACTAAATTAAAACATATAAAGTTTAAAAGACAGAGCAAAGTTTTACCCGATTTTTAGTATCATTGAAGAGACGAGACATAATGAAGTAAATTTTCAACGTTTACAACATTCTTCATTCTAATTTATATTTCTTCAACATAGAAAAATATAAAAAGATGCCAAACAAGTAAAGGATCGACTTAATAATTGAATTTCCCTGTTGATGCGTAATAAACATTATGTCCAACAAAAATACATACCAAGACATCATCTGTTCCTTGGTTTTCTAATGCTCAGAATTCCGGGCGGAGGAATTCAGGCACATCAAGAGGCGCTAAGAAGGCCATACAAAAACACAAGAACCTGTACAAGAAATCATAGGACCTGTGATTGCATTTCGGTCATCTGTCTGAATTGGCTGCTTGATGGCACAAATCCAATCAACAAACAGAGTGCGAATAAAAGAAAAGCAACGTTGACTGGAAAAAAATCCAATTTAGATCAAAATATCAATAGAATCATTGTCAGGCTAATGATCTAAATTCTCAACTGCCAACTCCAAATCCAATGAAATCCAATGATAAAATGGTCTAAATTCAAACAAGTAATTGCTAAGACCAACACAACCAGATTCTTTGTCCCTCGGGAATAACTGGAATCCTCCACGCCAAAAAACAGATCCTCAGAAGAATGGTGCTGTGGAAGGCTCTCAAACAATGATAGCTCACTGCCCAGGAAAAACGGCTCAATCTGTACGAAGCTAGCTCTACAATCAAAATTGCTTCCTTCATCCAGTAACAGCGAGCCAAGCTGTTCAATGTCGGTACGCCATGCAGTTTCACGCAGGCATTGCCTCAGACCCCCTCATGTTCAATCAAATCTTCAGGAGAAAGAATGAAGTGGATCACAAAGAATTCATCCGTTGGTCTAGATTTGAAAATAAATAACACCATATTGAAAATTATAATTAATTATCAGTTTTTTTTTGGGGGGGGGGGTAAAGCTAATATCAATCACTTCACAGCGGCCTTCATCAGGAGGATCAGCCCAACAAGCCCATACAATCCGATGGAGACAACAAAAATACCTACCTAATGCTCAGCCAGAACTACCAACAAACTAGAATCTCAACAAAATTTTTATTTTCTGCCACATCAAAATACTGGTAAAGCATTCGGACTATTTTCAAATCTAGCAACTCTTTCTTGCCCTCTCATGACACGGATGCCCCAGCAGTGGTCTGTTTAGCCACATAGATTTGCTTCACCTTTGATGTTGAAAAACTTTTATCTGCACCCAAAGTTTGGTTTCTTCCTTGCAACCCCATCCTTCGGCTAGACCACTCGCCCCCAGAACTATTTTTCTGAGAAACAGATCTCTGATAATTAGTATACCCTGAAGAATGATCATACTGCTGAGAGTATTATTTTTTTCCAAGGGCTGACTCTTGAAAGCAGCACTTGCATTCTGACTATTGCTATTGCTGCCATTGCCACTCTGAACATCAACCTTGGCAGCATCTGCAATAATGCTCACGGATGGAGTCTTGATGACACTGCTCAGCGCTGATTGCTTAGCAGCTGAGGTGTTTGAAGGATCCACTAGTCCAAGTTCATCTGGCAACCGGTTAAAATTACACCAGCTCCTGTAGGAAAATTCCTATCACCATCAGAGGGGGCAGACGTTTGAGAAGTGGGAAACCTATCGACGCTCATAGGTTGGTCAACAGATGGACCATGACTATACTGCGAGGTATGCGCTCCTTCCTGCAGTGGCATTGACAGAGGAATAGATGAAAGTGGCGAATTAGGGGCATGCGTCCATCGAGCTTGAGCTGACATTTCAGGTGAAGACTGGCACAAGATTTCACACAAATGCTAAGTAACCCAAACAAAACTAACACTTAACACAACTAATCGCAACAGAGTAAATTGTGTTAAACTTCATTATCATTTTGTGCATAATTGACTTGTAATAAAACTAACGTTCGCTGGAATTATGCTACTCTTCCACTGTAATACTGCAAAAACAAGCATTGAAACTAAATATGTCCACTTAAGATATTGCCCCTAAATCACTTATCAACAGTTTACCTGGAAAGGAGACATATCAAACATGGCCAGAGGAGAAGCCATCGGCACAAGTGGTGAACCAGGGGCAAGATGCTGAATTGGAGCAGTGATGTTGACAGGATTCCTCTGAGACGGTGCCATATTCATATTGTTCATATCTCCTTCACCGGCACCTGTTGCAGATGATGTGGAGTTGTGCTTCCAATCAGACTGCTGCTTACCTGACGGGATATAGGTGGCACCCATGAAACTCAAACCGACCTGTCCATATTGTCCAACAGGTGCAAAATGGTTATAAACAACCATGTGTGGCGGTGGTCCCTGGACACCCGGGATCCCTCTGGGGGGAGTAATAAAAGGGCCACTAAATCCAGCTGCAGGTCCATAAAAAGAATCAACACCAGAATGGCATTGTTGCCAGCTGCTAATTGGCCCTGATGCTTGCATGCTATTCTTTTGGGACTGTGGTTGTGCTGTAGATGCAGACTCATCATGTGGTCCGAAGGCAAAAACAGGACCACCCATCATAGGATTCATGTCGTAGAAGGGAAAATGTGGAGGAGGGCCCCCAGGAAAATGTGAAAGCATTTGGCTTGAATTTTGCAGAGCTGGTAAGGGCGGCCATAACGAAATTGGTGGAGTCTCAACAGATAGATCTGCAGGAAGAGATACACTAAGAGGCTCTTCAGATCTAGCTTTACTAGCTGATTGCTGATTACTAGCAACCCCTGCCAAAGAAAACTCAACAAAATAAATATCCAGATTGGTTTATGTTACATAAGCATATCCCCAGAAGAGTAAAGATAGGTCATTAAGGACAGATAAAACATTCACCAGCAGCTATGCCATCAATATCTGCAGCTCCATAACTTCTAGCTTCTGAAACTGAGATTGAAGTACCCAAACCATTTACAGCAATCTCATCACTGCTGATCGCAGCAAGCAACAGCAACAGCTGAAGCAGCTGCTTCAGCTTCAGCTTCACAATCTTCTAAGTTGTCATGAGATCCATTGTTGTGTTTCTCTTTATCATAGAAAAGACTGCAATCATGATCAGATGCAGCAGGGTTATGTGATATTTGCATGTTTGACATGGATGATGAAGGGCCAATTCCATGAGACAGTGCATGGCCACTAGGTGGAAGTACTGTTGGAGATGTTACAGCTCCTGAATAAAGAAACATATCTCCTTCATAAGCAAATCAATAGAATTTTCAGAAATATTATTTGAACATAAACAGCATTGCCATTAAAGATTTAATTGCTTACCAAACTGGATTTTCTCTCCAGCAAGCAAGGAATTGATTGGGCTCGCAACAGAAGAAAATGGTTTTTCTCTTGTCAAGATGGATGATGTCGGCAAGCTGGGCTTACTATAGTTCACCGTCAGATCTCCTCCAGAAGCCTGGGAATCAAACTGTTGAGGCTTCATAGCCTCATCAAATTGCCTCTGTGTAAGGGCCATGACCTGCCATAGAATTAAGTTTTAATTATAAGATCAACAAGCTTCTCAGCAAATAACAAAAAAAATGAATGTAGGTTCCATGACGACTAAAACTTTTGATTCTCAACAGTATGCTAATAAAATACCCCCACCCATTTTCTTCTGTTCACACCCAGAGAAGACCAACAAAAACTAGAATCATTAACCATATATTTAAGTTCAAGGGACAAATTCCAGAAAACACCATTTCTGTTGAAGTTGTAGAAGCTGGGAAGAGGCAAAATTAAACCTGTTGACTAGTTTGTGCATTGCCCAAAGATGTCTGAACATTATTCAGAACCTTATTCTTGCTCTCAAATATCACCCCAGCCCCGGGTTTTTCCTCCACCAGAGACAGCTGGCAGACTCATTTGGTGTGACCTGTAGCAACAAAAAGAAAAAAGTTAACATTTTCCATAAAAGGAATTCAAAAAAGAAATCTACAAGACACCAAATACCTGTTTGTCTCTGATCTTAAATCAGGCTGAGCATCAATTTTCAAAGGAGGTGTGCCTATAGGAGCTAAAGGTTGGGACACAGACCCAGCTGATATTTCACTTTTTTGCATTCCATTCCCATCAGGAACAACAAAATCAGCGTGACTACTGCTTGCTGCTTCTATTATAGACAGAGTTCCCCTGCCATAAGTGTCCTTAGCCTCAGTACCATGTGAAGCAGACCGAGGTTTCCGTGGCATCTGGCATAAAACAAATTAACTATTAAGATAATTGATACACAAAACCATGTTACAAGACAAATCAATACAAATGATATACTTTTGAACCTTCACAACCCGTGATTTAGCCTTGATTTCTTTCTCCCTCTGTTCTCTCCTATCATTTATCATTTGCCTCTTTGATCTGACTTCAATAAAATCATCTTCATCACTAGGAGCTTCGATTCCAGGTTGCTCAAACACACGTATAATTCCACTTTGCAAAGGAGCATCAACTTCTTCTCCAGAACACACATTCCGTTTAAGATGACTCTGTCCAGAAATCTTGTTGATTCTTTTCCGTCAACTTTGTCAACTCTACATCCAGAATCTACATTCTGTGACAAATCTGTAGCTGAGCTTGCGCATGTCGATTCCACAGCCTGTTTTCCTGTTCTATTGGAGAAAACCTTCCTCAGTCCAGCTTTTGCAGATGTGCCTGTACCAGTTCCATTGATATTTGACTTGATATCCGCACTAAACTGATCAGATGAAACTAAGCCAGAGGGCAGCCCTTTCTCACCACTAACTCGAACTCGAAACTCAGTCCGCTGGATATTTCGACGAGGCCTTCTCTGAAATCCACTAGCTTCTGGGTGATTTAACTTGGGGCTGGACCTGATGATTTTGAGCCAGAACCTTTTACCACAAAAGCATATCTCTTCCCTCTGCGCCCAGATGTTGGATAATGTGCCTTTGACTCTTCAAAACCTCTCTCTGTTGATGCTGAGTGTAGTGACACGTCTCGACCATTATGTTGACCTTTGGAATCTCTAGCATTGGATGAGGTACCACCACTCTTCGCAACAAAAGGCTGGTGCACCTGTTCATCCATTTGAAAATCTGCAGATGTCCTTGTGCTACTTTTGCCATCATGAGGAATCCTTGTTTGGCTCCGATTTGCCCCGGCCATATTTTCAGCACCCTCACTTGGCAATGATCCTTGAGATAGATTTACATGACTTAAGTTACTTGGTTGATTATCAACAGCAGGAGACCGAATCTCACTTTTAACAAAGCCATCAATAGCATCTGGACCAGTTTGAAGTGGCATTGGACCTCCGGGGTTATGATTGAAAGAGAATTCCGATGGAATGCTAGGCTGAATAAAAGACATTGATTGAGGACCAACAGGCATCATCCCTTGAGATATGGGAGATGTGTACCTTAGCTGGCCAAACTGAAATAAAGGAGGTTGTGATGGGTGCATGTGAGAGTGGGGTGCACCGACCTGTGGATGCAGATGCAGTGGCATCTGTATAGAACCAATTTGAATGGCTGGAACAGGAGATGGTATCAAAGATGGGCCAGTAAAAGACCGAATTGAAGTTTGACGGGTAGATCAACTTGACTTGGAGCACTAGCTGCATTAGACATATTAGATAGATCCGAAGACAAATATGGAGCACTAGTAACTGAAGTCAACTCACTGTGACGAGCAGAGTTAGAAGCTTCTGCATTGTCTAAACCCTCAGATACTATTGAAGTCGGCTTTACTAGACTGAATAACCAAATCTTGCATTGTCTTATCAGAATCCCGGAATACACTAGGATCATTAAGACTTGCTTTAGATTTGACAGGTTGAAGGGACATCCCATCACTGCAAGCATTGCCAAAACATACATGTTCTTCCAGAGTGGCACTAGATGCTTGTGCCATGAAAGATGTTTCTTCGCCTTTTACAGTTCTTTCAAATTCATCATTTGGCATCCCAACCTGAACACCTTCATCAAATCCTAATACTAGGTTATCCATCATATGGGGCAAACCTTTCTCTAAATTAATGTTTTCAAACTCCTGGTTGAGAGCAACACTATCATCTCCCTCATGCACTTCATCTTCTTCCTGATAATTTTCATCTTCATCATATTCTTCTTGTTCCTGGAACTGTTCATGATTCTCAGTAGTCCATTCTTCATCATCACCTGATGAGAAAGCACATGTGGAACCAACCACATTCTCATTCCCAGCTCTTGCAGACATTACAACTGAATCATTTTGCTGACCAGACAAAGGGCCGTTTTTGCCTTCCACAGAAGCCAACATCGCAGGAGCAACCCCAGATTCTTCCAAATCATCATGAGAAAGATGGGTTGGAGAACTAGGTGGGCTTGAAACAGAGAGTGAAGACTGAGAATCACATCTTGGTACAGTGGTGCTCTCAACTTTAAGATCCTCATTCTCCTTATTATGTGGCAATGCACCTACTACTACTTCCGATTGTCCAGAACTCCGCTGGTAATCATTGTCATAACCAGTTGGAATGTTATTTTCCAGGACTGCAGCAGGATGAGGATGTGCATTTACATCCCTGTAGGTTTTGGGCACAGAAGTTAGTGACGGAGGTGGAAGAACCCGAGGCTGCCTCACAGAATACCGTGACCTCCCAAAAGCATAACTTCCATCTGATTCAGAACTTGAGTAACAATGCTCGGTATATGCAGAAAACATATTGCCATGAGAACGGCCCGGTGTCCAGCCATCACTAATCTTTCCAAATTATCAGGATAATCAGAATCAACCTCTGTATTTCTGCTTAAATGATCTCCATTTCCAGGTTCATTCCATCTTTTCCCTTTTGCATTAGCATATTCATCTAAATGAGCATCCACAATCCCTCCTTTATTAGAGGCCCTTGAAGTCATGTATCCAGCACCTCCGTCATATTCTTTTCTCATTAATGGCTTTCCGCCAATTGGTGGATCTCTACTTGAACTGTTCAGACCATTAACGTGGCCATGTGAATAGAATATTGAATTTCTTTCATTCTCATATACATCTCTTCTCCATGAATTGCCCTTCCCTCTATCCACAGAGGAGGAAGAACTATCTCTAGAAAACTGAGGCCTTGAACCAGTCTCCAGTGACTTATTCAGGCCTGATGAATTAGAAGATGACGAAGTCAAAATTCCTTCAATCACTCTTTCATTGTCATCCCAATCGCCCACATCTGTACGCCTGGGAGCATCTTTTTCCTCTCCTATCCCAGACAGTTTCTCATCTGCAACAGCCATAAAATCGTTACCAACTTTGGCTGCATCAGCCTTCCTTCTGGCAATCCTTTCCTCCAATTCTAAAAGTTTCTGCTTAGCGGCCTGTTTCCTTCTCTCTTCCTCTAAAAGGATCCTCCGTTTTTCCTCTTCTCTAGCAATTTCTGCTCTTCAGCTTTCCTCAAGGCTTCAATTTGTTCTTGTTCTGCTTTCCAAGCTGCCTCTCTAGCTTCTTCCTCCATCCTCCTTTGCCTCTCTTCCTATAGATTCAGAAGAGCAGGAGATATAAATAAAATAGCTAAATTAATTATCATTGTCAATTCAATATAAATGATAAAAAATAACAACTATAACTGACTAGCATATCCCAAGAAAGATAAAGACTAACAAAACCCAAGGCTAAAAAGTTTCCTTCAAATTCCTAAGTACCCCTATCTCCCCAGCTCACAAGCTTTAAATCCTAAATTATAATTACATTGTCACATGACAAAATAAAGGGCAAAGTTTACACTCACTGTCCTTGAGGTTTATTCAGATGATAATCCACTCCAAAAATTTCCTCCACTCCATTTGAGTTATTAGACTGGCAGCACAAATAAATATTCTAATGATATAGCATTCTGAAATTGATAAAATAAATTGACATCTGATTCAAAATAATTGGAAACATTTTATTGAACCACATTTTATCAAATGTGTTCTTTTAAACTAAATAAAATTTATAAATAATAATTTGAAGTTCAACATGAGTTGAATAGAATATTCTGCTAGAACAATTGGTTATGCTGTCACTTAAACCTGTTCTCTGATCTGCCTTAATCTTTCTTCTTCTTCTCTTCGAGCCAACTCCAAAGCTCTTTCATGCTCTTCAATATTCCGTTGCCGCTCCTGTTCTTGCATCCTCTGAACTTTCTCAATCTCAGCCTCAAATGATTCCCTAGCAGGATCATAAAAATCCGTTTGCCTAGGTACCTCTTTCTTCTTCTTGACCATCCCAACAAGACTTGCAGGAAAAAAATCCCTCCCGTCAAATCCAGAAGCTCCAAAATCTTTCATGAAAGGATCCTCTAGAAAAGACTTTTCACTCTTGGCAGTGTGCGCTTTTCTCTATTAAAATTAAGCAGCGGATCATCCGCAGGAAGCCCTTTAGCACCCACTGAAGATGAGGATTTCGACACTGGGCTATGGACAGAAATAGAGCTATATCTGCTGTATTGTTCATTACCAGCAAAACCATCCCTCACATTTCGTTCAGGCCCTCGGCCACCATATGACTCCATTGGATTATTCCAAGGCTGCTTCCCTTTCTGTCCATAACCTATCTCCCTCTTTCTAAAATCATCATGAAAATTATCTTGGAAGGTGGATGGTAGGTATTTATTATCCTTCCCAACCTCTCTATTCATGCCGGATGGCCTTACACCAACACTCTCATTTCCCACACCTTGAACGGCAAACCCTTCCTTAGAAAGAGTTGAATTTCTCCAGGAATTTCCTTCCCGCCCCTCTCTACTAGATGCTCTGACAGGGTTTAGTTTAGGAACTTCACCGGAAAAAACTTTTCCAGTTTCATTGTCCCGCTGTCCCCATTTGTCAAAATTAAGAGCCGGCTTATGCGGCATTGCACTAACCCTGGGCAAATCAATGTTTCTGTCCCAGTAAGCTCGTTCGTTCTTTGTAAATCCATGATCTCTGGCCTCTCTACTCCTGTCTGTCAAACCATGACTCGTATCACGCTCATCATCATCCCCCAGTCAGATCTTGGGTTCAATCGCACAATGGGTAGAGGACCCAGGAAATACTCCTCTTTCTTCCTATCATGGTCCACCGCATGAGAACTACGTAAACTGTGAGTTTCACCACCTTCCTCGCTCAGTCCATTGCTAACACCGCCATGGGATGAATGGAACTGAGAATGTATGTCAGCATGTGAGGTCAAGCGTGAACCATCCTTCTGCTCAGTGGATAAATTGTCACTAACCGATTGCTTATGCTTCGGATTCAAATTCTCCTTGAGTTTTTGAGGTGGCCCTGAAGACAAAGTGGCCCGTAATGAAGGAAAATCTTCACCTCTTAGAACAGCCACCCTCTCTCCGGAAGGATGGGCTAGAGCAGCAGCAGATGCAGCGGGGCTACCTCCAACCACAGCTGATCGAGCAGAAGGCGGCATATATGCACTGTTCCCCCTGTTAAACCCGTCCACAGGACGCAACCCATTGTCAAATCCATCAACTGTCTGTTCACCGAACGGCTTCGTTTCTTGCAAAGCAGCAGTGGCTGGCTTGGTCCACCCCATACCAGATGAGGTGGGACGAGACCCACTTCCAGAGACCCCTCCTCCAGCAGGCCCTCCACCCAGTCCCAAAGAATCAAACTTCTCGTGCTCCTTCCGCAAGGAAGGCAGATTCAGGGGGGCGGAACAGAAAGCTTCGGCCCAGCCTTCTGAGAACTGCGAGGCCTTGAAAGGACCACCATACCACCCCCTCCACCTCCATGACCACTGGACCGTGATCGACTAGATGCGTAAGAGCTAGAATGAGATGAATGATGATGAGAAGGCTGACCATAGATTTGTTCAGATTCACAGACGCAAATTTGGTTCCGACACCGGGGTTGGCCATCGCCCCCGCACAAAGTCTGAATCGTTAGGCGGATACTTTAATGTTTAAAACCCTAACCCTTGACACCGGCGTCGTGGTGAAGCTGAAGCCAAAACCGATCGATGCGACTCCCTCAACCTTCAAAGCAGGTCGTCAAGCCCTCGCCGGACGGACAGCGAGGAGTTCGGTGGTCGCCAATATGGTCAATCGGACCTCGGCCGCAGAAGAACTAAACAGGATGAAGACCCCAAAAGAAAAAAAAAGAAAAAGGAGGGCTTTGCTCTTCTCTTCCGGTTTTCTTCACATATATAATTCATCTCATGCCCCCCTTTTTTTTTCACGGGGCACGTGTTACCTTTTAGATTTTACTCAGATCGTTAAATTGCTTCATATATTTTTCACTTGGCATTTTTTTTTTCACGTCCTTCTTAACTTCTTTTCGCTCTCTTTTTCACATGATATCGACAATATTTAAATTAAATTTAAATAAAATATTGCTGAGCTTAATA